TGTAAACGTGAATCACAGGTGATTCTAACACTGTGTACCCCATAACCCTCACACTCCATCCAGAATATTCTAGATAACTAATTATCCTGAATCCCCCTTTCCCAGACAAATTTCCTTCCTATCCCAGGAACTGGAGGCCATAAAATGAAGGCTTTGAGGCAGACATGAGGTCTAATTACAGAAATATTCTATTGGATCCACATAGTGCTATTTAGAAATACTCAATCTGCCACTACCCAGAAATCRGTAGATTCCCCATAAAAGTACGAACTTAGGGAATTCTATCTTGAAAACTAAATAAATACAATGCACCACAGCTAGGCCTAAGGCCCACTGGCAGCCCTGTTTTGGGTCTGAGCTTAAGGCCTCATGCCTAGGCATGGCCTAATCTGTCAGGGCTGATTCTTGCTTGGTTGCTGAAAGCATTTTAGCTTGCGACCCCTGCTGGAAAACTAACAAAAAGCGTGCAATATGGAGAAAAAAAAAAAAAGAAAAGAAAAGATGCCCACTGGGATCCATTTCCATTATGTTCAAGCTATTCCTGGGAAGAATGATGTATTCATTTTTCTGGACCTCATGTGGTAGCACATAACTATTGATAAACTATGGCCCAGTAAATATTATTCTAATGGCCTGAAACAGCTTAATTCCCTATGGGTTAGAGGAACTCAGAATGCCTCCTGTTGGAGGCAGGCCTGGAGAGGAATTGCAGAGGCTGTGTGCATCCGTGGGTTACAATGTCTCCCGACTCGGAAAAGGAGTCTGCTTGGAGATTGTGGATGGCCTCTAGGAAGGGTGAGAAGCCAAAAATCCAGGATTGGAAACTGAAAAGAAATGAAGGGAACCAAGCTCTAAGRATCATGTCAAGATGGTGCCAAAGGAATGGTTCCACTGGGACCACATCTTGGTACATTGATGCTGCTGCTGACGCCAGCCGCCTGATCCATGACCCACAGTGCTAAATAAACACTCCTTTGTCCTTGTGTCCTTTAACTACTCCCCCAAGATTCCAAGCCCCAGGTGGGTCATTTAACTGAGTTCAGAGCTAGGAGATATGGACAAGGAGAAAGAGCCTCACCTTGTCCACCAAAACCATCTCCCTAGAACAAGAGTGTAGTTCCCCCTAAATAAGAAGACCTTCAGTGGCTGGGTATCTTCTGAACACTTTGTAGGAGTTCAAGTAGAGATGGAGGGAAAGGGCAAGACAAGCAGTACCTTGGAGTGAAATAAGAACAGACAGATCTGCGTTCCAATCTGGAATCTTTTGTACTTTTAGAAAATTAATGAAGTTTCCTAATCTGCCGATTCCCAATCTTTAAATAGAAATAATGCCATCTGCTCTCYAGGGTTGTTGTGAAAATTCAATTCAATCATTCATTCACTTTTGCAAACACATTTATCAAACATCTAGTAAGTACCAGGATAATTTGGGGGACAAAAATATGAAAAACACCTAGAACAGCCAGAGCTCTGTTCTGAGAACAGATTTAGACAAGAGAAACTCAGGTAATCCCATGAAAGTAGTCATGTTTAACTGACTCCCCTATCTGCAACTTACATTTTTAGATTATTCAATGTCAAGTCCCTGCCTATAAATAGATTTTCTTAAGATATATGTTATCTAAAAGGTAAAAAAAAAAAGCAGAATAAACAAACAAACAACCAAACAAACAAAAAGAAATACTCTAAAAATTAACTAYAATACTAAAATAAGACAATCATAATTCTGAGAAGCATCAAAGCCTTGTGCTGGTAGAATTCACATAGAGTGATCAGAAGAAGAAAATGTCAAATTATATGAAATCCTCACTCTCATTTAATATTTAGCATACATAACTAACTCAGAGATACCCAAACTACAATTAACCTGAAAATTAAAATAGACATAAAATAAAAATGGGGGGAGGGCAATTTAGTAAAGAGTTTCATAAGGGTTTTATGATTGTCAAAATGCTGTTCATATATTTTTTTTTCTTTATTTCTCCCAAATATTCCATTAGTCTCTATTTTGCAGTAAAGAAAAAGAAAAAAAAAAAAAAACCGAAGTTCCTGGAAGGAAAAACATTTAGCCAAGGTCATGGGGCAAGAAGTCAAGTCGGCTCTACAGTGCCTGGAGGTCTCTCTCTTTCCCCTACCAGAAAAAGGCAGTCTCAATAGAAAGCACCAGATCATGTAACCAGGTTGAAGGAAGAAAATTACCCCCAGTAGATAAGGAACTACCCTGGTTTTTCCAACTCAGCTGGGAAGTTCCTGCCTTCTGTAATGACTGGAAAGTTACTGGATTTCCTGCTGAGCAGCGGGAAAGCTACTATTCTCCTGCCACAAGTGTCTCACATGGGGACCTTGGTTTAGGTGCTGGCCCAATACCCAACACTTGAGCACAACCTTGGCATAGGCTCCATTCAGAACATCCACTATCTGTCCCTCCTTCCAAACCCTAGCCTCCACAGAGAGAACAGGACTCCATCCACATGGTGGTTATGTGTCACCAAGTTAAGATGCCACAGTCCCAGAAAGGCAGCGTGCACTATCAAGCAATTTCTACCAGCCATTCCACCTTCTGGCCTCTTTCTAGTAACCACCAAATTTCAATTCAAAACAAGAAAAGCTTCCACATGGCTTGTCCTTTTAGAGAATGCCTGGGATTTTTTTTTTTTTTTCTAATAAGAAAGTTTCTTCTTTTGACAATAAAAGCAAAAGCCCCAACTACATTGTGGAATCCCAGTAATGCAAATCCCTCTCCTTTAACAAGGTTACAAAGTGGATGCACCCTGCAAAGGACTGTAGGCTCCCTGCTAATCCTATCACCAGCAGAGTCAAGTCCCCCTGGCCTGTGGAAACTCCTATTTGCTAGTTCAAGGCATCATTTTGTCATCAGCTTCCCCAGTAAATACTTTCCATCTTCAAGCTACAGTGCATCTTATTATAGCAGCAGCTTCACAGTGGACCTGCAGCCCAGAAACAGCTCAACAAGCTTCGCTCTATGCTGCTGTCCTAATTAACCGCTGATTTAGGAGTGCTTAGTCATGAAGTTGTCCATCCCTGTCAAAGTCTGCTGGAAGAGTTAGATAGGTAGCTGAAGCCTGGAAAGTCTCTGTTTAGAATGGATCTTTTCCTGACTAGGGCAGGAAAAAACCTTATATAACATAGTGGTCCATTTCAATATTGTATTTTCTGCAATCCTGTGGTGGGGCTATCTAAGCACTGGAAATACAAAGGGAAGGCTAGTGCAGGGATTTGCAGCTGAAACATTCATCTCCTGGAATTTCAGTAGGTCAGGCTTATTCTAACTGCACCCACTTTTGCTGGGAAAGCAGAAAGCAAAAATAATTCTGAAAACCAAAGGGAGAGCTTTGAAATGCAGGGAGGCAAAAGTTGGGTTATATCCCTTCCTTAAAAAAAGAAATATAAAATTCCTGCAATTAATCTTCCAGTGGAATCTGGTAATTGTATCTTAACAAAATGAGGTGATATTTGATTACAAAGCGAGAACGAACAGCTAAAACTGAAGGAATTTGCCTGTATTCTGGCTGTAGCCGCTGCAGCAGCTGGCCAAACACTGAGTGCCCGAGCTCCTTGGAACTCAGCTAAGGACCAACTCCCTGCCCTCCCTGCTGGACCAGTGTCTGGAGGAGCAATCCAGCCCTCGAGCGGCGCAGGAGGAGAGCTTGGTTTGCTAAAGAAGGAGCGGAGCCCTGCACTCCCTCCTTCTCCTACTGGCCGCTCTCCCTGATACTCCTTGGGCTACACTAGGTAGCAAGAAATTGCTTCTGGGAGCGCAGTCTGAACACAGCGCATTTGGAGTTGCGTCCCCAGGATCCCCCAAAATCGTCTTGGCTCAAGTTGCGGATAAAAATAGCCTGGGATAACGCTGAGGGAAGGGGAGGAGCGAGTCTTGCACAAGGCAAGGCAAGTCAAGGATACCACTGGTTCTGCAAAGAGCGGGTTAGGGAGGGAGGGGTGCAACTCTTGGCCCTGGGCGTGCAAGGAGGCTCTCATGCCATCTTGGTGGAAGTAGTAAGAGTAAGACCTATAGCGCTGGAAAATAACTGCTGAGCCCAGCACAGCCCTTTGACTGTGGTGCGGGTATCCTGGCTTTGGTTCCAGCTTCTCCATCTCACCATCCGCCTGCGCTCCAGGTTCGGCCCTTGAAGCCAGCCCTYGGGTTCCTGGACAGCGGGTGCCAGAAGGGGGAGCAGCGCCAGGTCAGCCGCCCAGCTGGGAAAGCACACCTGGAGAAGTCAGGCTGGGCGAGTAAGTCCCTGGTTCCCGAGGAGTGGGCTAAGCGCTCCCACGGCGGGTTCGCTCCCCTTATCCCCCTGCCCCCAACCTCCTCCACTATCCACGGTACCCGAAATAGAAACCAAGGCGGAAAAAAAAAGTAGAAAGTAATCTGAAATATCAAGATCCGGTTGTAATTGGTTTCCGTATGATAGGCTACTTACAGTCCGGGCTGTCGCTTCAATCTCTTTTCTCGCGAGCACCCCATCCCTCGGGAGATGCCCCATCGCCTCCTTACTCCAACCGAYCGCAAAGGTCAGCTGGACCAAATCGTCCCCACCCAGGATGCCCGGTCGGCTGAGTGACTTGCCGACTGTCAGCCCGCTAGTTCTCCGCCCCAGGTGGTACCCAGGCTTGGCTGAGCGCTGTGCTCCAGCCGCCGCACAGGGTCCTAATGGGAAGCCGCCGGCGCGTAGCGGCGGACTGGAGAGAACCTCCGAATCTGCTAGGGGGAAAAAATCCAATTCATTAAGAGTCAGAAACTCCAATTTCTGCCCTTGTAGATCAGTCCTCGAGACTTCCAGAGCTGAGGTGCTAGAGAAGGAGGTGAGGACGATGAGAAGACCCTGTCTCTCCTTGTCTCCTCCCTTTCCACTCCACCTGCTTCAGCCTCGACTCACCTTGGGTTCTGCACTTGCCCCGAGTCCGGGCGCCAGGCGAGGGCACCTGGGTGCCGCTTCCCAGACTGGAGGCCCCCGCCCCACGAGCGCTGCACTCACCTGAGCCGCGGTGTGGTCCAGCCCGTCGGGCTCCCTAAATCGGCTCCAAGGCTGGGCCATGTGCAGCACCGCCGAGCACCCGCGGCGAGTGGAGTGAATTCCGGGACGCCCAGACCAGGGCGGGGAAGGGGCTCCGACACCCACAGAGAACCGGCGGTGGCGGCGGCTCAAGGCTGCCAGCCCGCGGAGGACCTTGCAGGCGGGCGTTTTGGTGCTCTATCCTGAAGAGGGGAGGAGCAGGAGGAGGAGCAGGAGCAGGAGGAGGGACGAAGGAGGCCGAGCCCTGAGGGAGAGCGCGTTGGGCAGAGGAGGATCGCGAGCGCCCACTGCTGCCCTGCCGGTTCCGGTGCGGCCCCGAGTCAAGCTCGCTGGAAGCCGGGAGCCACTCAGCGCTGGGCGGCTCAGCAGGACCCTACCTGGCAGAAGCGTCAGCCGCGGGTCCTGGAGTAGTTGGTCCCGCCTACCCTGTGTGGCAGCTCCTCGGGTTTCTATCCAAGGTGAGGGACCAGCGCTTACAAGAGAGTGGGGCGAGTGGATTGGCAGACTTCGCTGTGGCTGCAAACTTGGAACGTCCTGTCTACTCTCTGACCCCGAGCTTGGAACCCATGTGTTCCCCCACTTTCCAGCTCTGCACGGTCCCCCAAACATGCGCTCCTCCCACTGTGTTCGACCACGTGTTTCCTTACAGGCAGGTGACCCACCTTAAGCACGGGTGATTGCTGCGCCGCCCAGGAAGCAGGGGGAGCCATTCTCTCCAATTCGCGCTGCAGCGGACCTGGGACAGCAGCGACCGCCTGGGCCAGGAACCGCTTGAGGAACCCACTTCAGAGTGCACAGTGTAGCCACTGAACACACCCTCCCTTTGGTTTCGCGTCAGAACGTAGATGAGGACTTGTGAAGAGGGAATGGAGAATTCCGTTCTGCTTTTGCTAGTGTGCTAGGATGGCAAATGTCAGCGCTGAAATTAAGCAAGGTCCCCTCCTCCACCCCCTAGTTCKGAAGCTGAGGGGTTTTCTCTGAGAACCGACCCGCACACAGTAGTTCAATTTAAGAATTGGAGAGCATGGGTTTGGAATCTTGGAGAAACTGGGCTGCCTGGCTACCTAAGCCTAAGCAAGTCGTTCTCAAAGGCGGCTCAGCAAAAGTGGTAATTTTTTTTTAATCAAATGCACATCAAAACAATCTTCTTTGCATGAGATTTCAATACCTCTTCCATATCTTAAATACTCCTCGAAGATAAATATTTGGAAGGATTCAAACTTGCCATTTACTTTTTTTTTCTTTCTTAATTGATAGTCTTCCAACTAAGGGAAAGTTTTTATAGGGGATGTCTACAGGGAATAAACCCCTTAATTTCTACAAAGATTAGTCTCTGCCATTTTAGAAGGCAAAGCTACACCCAGCGCAGTATTTTCTGGTTGGTAAATACTTCCTTTTGAAAAATAAATTTTTAGAAGTTTTAATGACCCTGGCTATATGAACTTTTAAAAAGTCACTTTAAAGCTGCACTTTGAAAAGCCTTAGCATTTAAATTTAATTTAGATGTAGGGGACTGTTTTTCTCTTCCACTCTATGAAGCTGTGTAAAGTCATGTATGAGGTGTTCTGGTCAAATGCCAGTCTAAGATAAAGCCCTGTCAATCATGGTATCCTTGTGTTTCTACCTGCAGCCAAGCACAGTGCAAATCAYGAGTTCTCCAAAAGAGGCAGAGGTTTTGATAGTCAAAATTGTTATGATGCCTTTTTCTAAAGGTTTCAAAGTGTTATGCCACCCATAATGTGAATTTCACAACTCATTTGTGAGACACAAAGAAGGATAACAATGCTTCTATTTGCACCATAGAAGTCAAAGGTAGATTAACTGATCTACTTCATTATCTACCCCCAAAACTTGAAAGAAACTAGAATCCCAGGCTCCAGTTCTGTGTCTGTTAGTTGTTTCCATTTGCAAAAGTGACTCCAGGCCCATCTGACAAGTGACAAGAATTTGAGAACAGGCACTTTAGATATTCTTGTTAAAAAAAAAATAGCACGCATTCATTAATCAATACTGTTCTTATGTTTAGATAAGTGAAAATACAAATGCCTTATTTTGTTCTTATTTAGCATCATGTCTCTGTGCAGACATTTACCACCTCYCCTAATCAGTCCTCTCTGAAGGGTCTGGGCCAGAATTACACTTCCTATCCAGGAATCTAGGCACAAGGGTCTAGCTCTGCTGTAACAACACCAACATTCTGTGGAAAATATCTGTCTAGGGGCTGGTGCTCCCCAGAAGATGAGAAGTGCTTCAGCATGGGCACCATGACATCATTCTCTCCCCCCAGACCCTTGTATGGTATCTGAAACATACCTTGCTCTAAAGAAAAAATCAGTCTATAGATTTAATTTCCTTTATGGTGTGATGACTTAGGGTAGATATATTCCCACTCCACAGCCATGATGTGAGAATGGATATCCATGGAAGATCAACGGTCCTTCTTAGTTGTATGACCCAAGAAAGTGTCATCAACTGAAAAATGGGGGAGTGTGGTTATTGATCTCTGCATTGCTTTCTTTTAAGCTATTAAAATGTTGATTGAGGGACTGGGGTTGTGACTCAGTGGTAGAGCACCTGCCTGGCATGTGTGAGACACTGGGTTCAATCCTTAAAACCACATACAAATAAACAAACAAAATAAAGGTATTATATCCATCTATAACTAAAAAAAAAACATTTTAAAAATGCTGACTGAGAACACATATGTATCCAACAGTACTGCAGGTACTGGGGGAGAAATGGAAAGCTGACATGCTACCACTGCCCTSAGGGAGAATAATAAAATCTTGTTTGAAACAGAGACAATGTAGACTCACAGGCCATCTTTGCAAAAACCCCTTGACATTGGTTAAGTTGAAAGCTGCATTAGCAGAAGGGAAGTTTCAAGAGTGAAGTAGAAACCAAAGGAAGTGACCTATGAGTTTGGTCAATCATGGACAGTACCAGCAACTAAGATACAACCAAGGCTCATGTGCAGGGAACTGGGGAAAATGTGTTATGTAAGCTGCACCTCATGTTCTTAAAGCAGCCTTGTTAGAGAGAACTAGGATGTATCCACTTGACAAATGGAAACTCAGGTTGACAAAAGTGAAGCAATTGATTCAGCATGACACAGCAAGAAAGGGTCTCCCTTAACCAATCTTAAAGAACATTAGTCCAGACTTCCTCAGTTTTGTAACTAAGAGCGTCCATATCTTCCTTCCACTAAAAAAATAGACTCCCAACCCAGTGCTCCTTATAATTGAGTGGTTTGCTGTTGTTGGTTTTGTTATTTGGTGTTTTTCCTCTCCTGTGCAATGACTGGTGAGGTCAAGAGAAGGAGAGGCAGGGGGAGAGGAAAAGAGTGAGCTTACTTCTCCTGAAGCTGTCTATATAGGACCCACTTCACTCTACCTGCCCAGACTCARGGGGATTTTACCTGCAAGCCCTGTCTACTGGGTTGCCCTATATACTTCTCCTTTCATAATGGCCATTGGAATCTTTCAGGTTAATAGCATGAATATTGAGGAGTCCAATGGGATTCTTTACAAGCAGAGGAAATTGGGATCAGGTTAAAAATCCAATTTTAATAAACTTTCCAAGTCTTGATTTAGCTGGTTGTGCTAATGGCTCTTACTGCTGAATCACCTTAAAAGTCAAATGTATTTTTAAAAGGTCCTTCTTGTATGGGAAGCTTGATGGATATTGCTTAATTGCACATTGTGCATTCCTGTCTTCATAGAAAAAGATCATCTGTAAAACTGAAGAGAGCTGATAGGAAATGCAGCTATCCATAGAACTGGTTGGGTAGAAGGGAAGGCRTTGGGTTTGCAAGATAATTTCCACACGTTTTGACCAAAACAAAGAGAGCATGATTATGCTGTGTGAAAATGGTATCCTCAAATAACTCCACTAATTTGATTGTGCTGAGGTCTAGAATTGTTTCTATTTCTTTTGATTTGCTAATTAGCCAGAGCAGTCTGCCTGTGAGAGAGGAAATGAGGGTCAGAGCCACAAAACATGGAGGATTGTCTGTCYTTCCAATTCAGCTCACCCTTCACCTGCCCCTCAAAGCAATCATCCCAGATCCCAGTTTACCTACAAACAGTCCCCCTATCTATCATCAATGGATTATTTGGTGTTTTTCTTTTTTGAAACATGGTTTCTGTTCTTTGTACGATAGCAGGTTTCCTGTTGTTGTGTGTGGTTACAGGGTTGAGTTATGACTTGTAGCCCTTACMCCTCTGTGGGTCGCATCTTTACATAATGCTACGATTTAGATATAGTTTGAATGTCTCCCAAGGGCCCATTTGTCAACCACTCAATTCTCAGGKTGGCAGTAGTGGGAGGTGKTRGARCCTTTAGGAAGTAGGCTTAGTGGGATGTCCTTGAAYCATAGGAAGCATGCCCAACAGAGGGGTTTATGTGGTTCTCTGTGAACCCTTGGTAAATCTCCAGAAAGGGTGGCTKTGAAAGGTGCAAGCCTGGCCTACCTCCCACTTTGCTTCCTGGCTCTAGATGTGATGGCTTGCTCCTGATTGCCATCCTGACACTGCCATCCACCATGGGGAGATGCTSCTTAGGCAGAGACCTTGCCAGAACCTGCCATTCAGAAAGCCTCTTTACCTATACGTTGGCCTGCCTCTAGTATTTTGTTATACTAACAAAAAACTGAGTAACGCACATACATACACAAATAAACATYACATTTAATAATCATATTGGCATAAAGATGAATTTTTGTTTAAATGTTTTATTTAACTTCAAATATTACTTTKTTCTTCTCATTTTAAATGAAATTATAATATTTTTAGAGGGCCCGAAAGCAACTTGGGCCCGAGGCACTGAGCCTGTGACTTTTAATGGCAAGCTTGGCTCTGTATAGATAATGACATTGCAGAGCAGGAATGCTTAGTTGATTCAGGTAGARGAAGTCTGTTAAATACAATTTCATATAAATAGCTTATAGTCCATTTGTTGTGTTGGATAAASAACTACAGACAACATATTGCTTTTATTTCTGATCTTCTGTCAAACTTCGCCTGGAATTACACACATTAGTGCAATAAAAACGGCAATATTGCAGGCCTGAAGTTGTTCCCTTTGTAAGATTATTAGATCCTGTTGAGTGCTGGAATGCCTTCAGGGCAGTGGACAATTGTGGCACTCTTTTAGATTTTGGTTTCCTGG